CAATGAAAGTCATACAAGTAAATGTGTTCGGCCTTCAATAAATAGGGTGTGACTTGTTCTGTTTGTACAGAACTATAATGGATTAGCCTTTCAATGAGTAATGACACTTTAATCACACTTAACAGCACTTATGCATCATACTTTTATTCATGTTGACATACAGGGCTGTAACCACCATAGACACTGAGGAGGACACTTCATCTCAGTGTTCAGATTAGTTCAGATTTGGTTGATTCTTAAGTTGATGGTTATTTCTTCAACGTTTATGTCCCAAGGGTTAAGTTTTTAGAAACTTTTGTTTAATGAAGATCACATTTACAATGTCTTTTGTGTGTAGTTTTTAGTGATTTACTCTTGTCACAAACCCAAACTTTCCATCTTAAACTATAAAAAAACATCATATGAATTATTACATGTACAAGTATTTGCACAAATTACAACCAATGTCCCACAATTGATATTTGCAACAACTAACACTTTTTCCTACTAGCATTTTTTTCAGCAGCTACCAAGTAGTTGAGAATATGAAACTAGAGAAGAAAAATTAAGTTAAATATCACTGATGAATAAGTTATTCTGCACAACTATCATGTATTTAGGATACATGTTAGTTATGAAATTACCAAAACAAGCAATTTTATTTCTAAAATGTTTAAAATGCCATTTTACCCCAGAATGCTATTAAAAAATGGATATGTGATGGAAATGTTTCATTATTTTATTAGCAGACAAATTAAACTAGGGATTTATATTTCCCTTAATTGAAATAAAATAAACATTAGCTGAAATAAAATAACATTTAAATTAACTTTTAAGCTTTTAAATTGGTGTAAATATATGATGTTGAAATATATTGATATTTAAATGTAAAAATTCAATTAAAGTAATAATAATAAAATAATAAGTAGAATCTGATAACAAAATAACATGTTAAAACGGCCATAGAATCTATTACCCCAGTCCTGAATATGCGGTTACATTCTTGCTGAGATACGATGAGTTTCCGTGCTGTCAGATGAAATATGTGTTGTTGGACATTTTAGCCCATTTCTCCAACTACAGTGTATCTCTTACCAACATGTCCCTCATAACATGCCCACTCTGGATCTTTAAGAGGTGTCTCCTGCTACAATTTTTTTTCTCCCCTCTTTCTTTCTTCTCTCTTTTCTTAAAGAGTGACTCATGATATTTAACCTACTTACTTAGCTCCACCTATAGCTGCTCTCTTTTGGTCTCGGTAATAGGAACGTCTCGGGTCCGCAAACTCAGAATGCGGTGAAGGGAAAACATGGTGGTCTTTCAGTCAAGTCCATCAAACAGAATTGATGAAACTGGCGACAGAAAACAAAATAACCAACATAGAGTTTAGAAAAGGCCCTCACTCAGCGAAGTGTGCTGACCCTTAGCAGGGAGGCTAATGTAACACGTGAACAACACGAGAAGGTCCTGCACTGGAATGTCGCTCTGTGTACATGTTTGGTATGAGTTGCTGACTTTCTGTCATGGTCCGTGCATGTTTTTGAAGTCAGGAAGACTTCTCAAATTCTACCCTTTGAACACTGTTTTGTGTTTATTTGTAGAGTTCATTAGAATGAAGCTGATCATTATGCAAGATTGAATGTGTTCACGTGTTTGTTAATGTTATTGCAAACTTATAATGTTCCAGTGTTTTCATATTTGTTGAGGTGGGTCTCTAATGAATGCTCTTTGATAATGCTCTTTGCAAGCATTTGTCATATGCTTCTGTGGTCTCCGCTCTTCTCTCAGCCTGTCTCTCTCTGTCTGTCCCCAGGCCAACAAACCTTGTGCTGGAAGCTCCAAATCCCATAATTACAAAGCTGACAGTTAACACACAGGTAAGCTACCCTTATTGACCGGCAAAGAATGCAAACATCTACTGCACTGGGGTTGAGAGATGGAGATGGAGGCCATGCTGCAGGTGTAGAAGTTACTCCTCCATATCTCCTGGGGGTTGTGAGGGCATAAGATCATCCCAACACAAAACTGAGAGATGGAGTTGGTAGAGTAATCATGAGAGTTATGCATATTATATTTTATTGATAAGTTCAAAGGTTCTTTATGCTTCCATGAACACTTTTATGGTTCCAAAAGGGTGTTTTCACAGTGATGCCACAGAAGAACCATTTTGGTTCCCCAAATAACCTTTCAGTGAAAAATTCTTATAAGAACCTTTTTAGTGTTAAGAAAATTGTAATAATAATAATAAAAATTAACTTTTCCACTATAAATAACTTTTTTTTTCCAATGGAAAGTTTCAATCAATATTATCAATAGGTTCTTCATGCAACCATGATGCCAATAATATAGTGGAAAATGGTTCTTTAGATTATTAAAGGGGTCATATGATGTTGCTAAAAAGAACATTATTATGTGTATTTGGTGTAATGAAATGTGTTTATGTGGTTTAAGGTTCAAAAAACATATTATTTTCCACATACTATACATTATTGTTTCTCCTCTATAGTCTTTGAGTCAGAACAGCCGGCATTGTAGTCTACTCTCCCAGGATCAGGAAACAGTCCTCCATAAAATGTGCTGCACACATCTGAATATTTGGGTTGAAGTGTTCTGGAACAGTGTTGTAAATACAACTTAACCACTGATTTCTAGTCGTGTCCTCTTTTGGAAGACCAAACAAAGTAGTTTCGCTTTCACAACGAAACACAGCGTCACACACGGTGGGCTTGAGTGAGCAGAGGCCAGAGGCCTAGAGTGAGCGGAGGCGTGCAGGCTTGAGAACGGCGCGGCCGGTGGATTCGGCCGGTGGGCTTGCGGTAACCACATGTGACAACCCCGGGCTGGACTCCGCTTCGTCCACAGTGAAAGCCGATCCGGC